TAATTGTTAGTCAATAAAGTCTATTGCCGTTGAATCGTCCAATTTCGAGGCCTCTTAAGGTTGCCATGGCCAATGGACGCCTTCTTTCGGTAGACCACTTCTACGGACCACCCGCCCGACTGCGTATTTGCACCAACAATGCATGTGACATGATTACGGCTGTACGGCTAGTCTAGACAACCCAAAGAGCCTAACCCGATCAGAAAGGACGACTCGAACCACGTCTCCCTTGGAAATCAGCCTGGCTCGATGGTGCAAGTCCACAACGCACGCACACACACACACACACATACACACACTTTGAATGACTGTTGTGCTTCCTCTGCCGGACGCAAAGGAAAGGGTGCTCCTTGGACCATTTTGACGGAACCAGGACGAATGTGCCGGGTTCAGCGAATCGTCTGTCTCTCTGAGGCAGTCGTGCATGCACACGCAACCCGACACGCAACCCGACACGCTAGCTCGACATGTCAGCACCGCCTGTGCTCACTGTCGACGCCAGGCCGATTGCCGCCGTAACGGCGACGAGCTCGGTCGCTGAGGTCCGAGGAGTCCGATTGCAACCGCCTGCATGGCCGTGCCCAATGTAAGATTGTCTTGTCGAGACACGCCTGTCGGTTGCCATGGCCGCGGGAGCGGAGGCACGCCCGCGCATCTCGACTCAGATGGCGAGTTTCCGGTTGTCGCTGAAGCGTGGCCAGTCCTCCAAGTCTGTCTGGGGCTCTTTCGCCAACTCCGGAGAGTCTTACAGCCGTTCAGTTTGTGTGTGTGTGTGTGTGTGTGTGTACGCGTTGATGCAGCACTTGATTTGGCTCTTTTGGCCCGCCTGAATGGGGTGAAAAGGTCCGGCTGTTGCTATGCTCATCGCAGACAATTGACTGGCGGAGGAAAAGCACCGGGATTGCCCACAAGCTGGGCCGATGAGATACCAGAGAGTTTGCAAACCGAGCCACGGAAACCAACAGACAGGCACACAAAGAGAGAGTAGTCTGAACGGGCTTGCCCATCACCAGGTCGTTTTGCCTCGTGGAAAGTGGGCTGGGGTTGGGGCGGTCCGGCCGAGGCGGTTCAAGCAGGCCAGTTAAACATTGCCCGGCATTCCACCAATTGCAGGAGGCCGAGATTGCTAATTATTTCTCGTTTCGTCCCGGAGACCATTTTGAGGCAAAGTGGTTTCCACGGCTCTACAGGCCTATTTATGCATGTGTGTGTATGTGTGTGTGTCTGGGTGCGAGTGGGTGGTCATGCGGCTCTAAGATGATTATTGTACACTTAAAAGATTGTGAGCGTTTGTGTGCGTGTATTTGTAGGTGAATTTGCGTGTTAGTATGTTTGTAGAAGCACTTGCGTGTGTCTGTAATATGGCAGGTGTGTGCATTTCGACGTGGTTGTGCTTGTGTTCACATAAACTGATGTGCATGTGTAAGATGCTTGATATGCAATTATAGGCTGGTGCATGTATGAAGAGCATAAGGCATCGTTGCTCTATAAAAGAATGTGTATGTATGCGTGTGTGTGTGTGTGTGTATGGTATGAAGTATGGGGAAAAAGGTTTTCTGAGGTCAGCGGCAAATGGATCGCAGACATCCATAGTCAGATTGTTGATGGCCTCAAAGAGGGCCGACATCTCCATCCTCTAGACGAGATGATATCGAGGCTGACAGCGCCGAGGAAAACACAAGCGACCCTCCATTTGGTTTGGAGAGAACTCCCTATTTTGAATGCATGCTTTAAAGCCTTTTGTTGTGCCCACATCCACTTCGAAAGTGATGCTGGGGTTGGGGTGATAAAGGGTTCTCAGGCTCGATCCAACCAGAAGACGAAGGCCGATTCTGCTTGGCCAATTGTCGGCTGGTGGTACCGGAACATTCTGGAGACTGTTCTTCGATTTGGGTGAAAACAGACTGACCTTTCGCTCTTAATGTGACGTCGTGCATTTTCTGCATTATTATCACACGCGAAATTTGCTTTGATGTGTCAAACACAATTTTCCGGTTTACTCAAACCACAGTTGACTGTAAAGAATAAGCGGTCGTCTTTTGGTAGATTCAACTGTTGAATCTCTTTATTAGACACACTTTCACTCGAAACGAAAGTGAGATCAACAGGTACAAACAAAGCAATTCCTCAAAACCCAACTTTCCTTCGTTAAAGCTTTTTGGTTGTGGTTTGTTGAGAGTAATTTTGCTATGATGGCACTGTTGGCTACTTTTAAGAAAGTGAATATTGAAGGGATTTGTACAGCTCGGACTCCCCATGTCTTTAAGCTGCCTAGCTTTACCGAACTGAACTTCCGTCCGTCACGCCACTTGACAGACAGACATCGTTCGAGTTGAAAGAAAGTCATTCTTGCAAAAGCTTCGGCTTTCAACAGTCAGTCAAGAACAAGCGCCATCAGTCGTTGTCTTGAGGGCGCATCTCCTCGTCATGCATTTTCACATAAACTAAAAGTTTCCATTGCGATGTTGTCTCAAAACAAACATCAAGGCCCAGCTACTTTTTGCATATTTTACATAATTCGATTTTTATACTGCTTGAAGTGGTCTTTGGAAATCACTGTTTTTACCCAACAAAAACATTTCTTTTTAAAGTGCATTAGGTTCTGTGGGACCTGTTAAGAGTTTGTGGGTTGGCCTCGTTTTCGCAATTTTATCTTGTTGTCCAGGCGACTCTTAGTAGAAGGCACCTCGTGCCAAGTCCTCTGTCATTGCAGTTATCGTAATTCCCAGCATCAGACCGTCGAATCGGTACACTCTAAGATCATTCACATGACATTTCTGT